ATTTATAAAGATGCCTTTTCTATTTGTACCTTTAATAGATTTTGGAGATAACATGTAAGCCGGTTAAAAAGAATTTGAATGGTACAGTAGATGTAAAAACAAAACAAAACCCCAACCAAAAGCAAAAAACAAAACAAAATCAGTTGTTTAAATGAACCATTGTTTTTACATTAAAATGTTTTATTTGAAATCAGCTTTTGTACATAAAGTTCAGTAATACAAAATCTGCCACGATGGTTGTCCGGTGATTTTGTCTGCATGCAGAAGGCCGCAAGCGGTACCTTGTACAACCTTTCTCTTCTGCACGTGATGTAGAATTCGGATACGTGTTCTTCCTTTGCCAGACTGTTACAAAGGTAGCTAAGTTTCTGTCCAGTCTTTTTGTTTTATTTAAGGTGTCTCCATAAATTACCAGGTTTTTAGCTAGACTATAAAAACTTCCATTCTTTCTAGGGGGTAGAACGGAATACTTGAGATATATCTGTAAGCTGTGTATTACTGTTTAGAACTGTAATTTATATAACTGAAAATGAAACATAGCACTTGTGATGTGTCAGTTATAAAAACAAGACTTGTGAGGTTTTTTTACATGCAAGTGCTTAATGTTTCAAACAGATTTTACAAGATACTTAGTTTATTTGGAGCAAAGTTTAAATGGCTATCAGTTTAAAATAGTGCTTCTCTGGAACTGTAGAGGATGGATACTCCAGGTACTACAGAACAAAATGAGTAAGGAATTGCACTGCTTGGCCGAATGGTGACTGCTGAATAGCAGACACTGAAAACCTTTTTCCATGTGAAAAATAATTCGGATACTGACGTACAGGATATGACAGCTAGATTCTGTAAACCTGACTTCAGATTGCAGTTGTCTGGTATGCTTTTGTCTCTAAAAGTGTCAAGGTTCTTCTAATCTAGCCTTCAGTATGTTTATGGCAGATTTTTATGATGTTTTGTATTTGGTGAACCCCAAGTTGGAACCTATCATATGACGTGAATATTTAATTCAGTGCATTAAATACTATAGTCAAAATTGTTAGATGCATTTAAGTTGTTAACCTTAAGTGTACGTTGCTTTGTGTCTTGAATGTAGTGCTTGAATTTTGGGGGGGCGGGGTAAAGATTCACTGCCTGGAGTGATGCAGTTGCAAATGATGGGAACTGTTGTGATTACTTCACTAACCACCAAAACAAAACCCCCAAATCATACAGCTCACCCCAAACCAGCAATTCGATTTTACCTTTGAAAATGCAGGAGCCATTCTGTGAGGACAATTTTGACAATATTGTTCAAAGTTAAGTATTTCTTAATTCACAGAACAGTTTGGTGCCGTCATCAACCAGCGCTTGAATGAAAGCGTTCCTGTTGGACCAGATCCTGGTTATAGATCTGATACTGCGTGGTTTCACGACTGAGAAAACGAGCTTTGAATGAAGCAGGTAAGTCTGCCTTCTGTGACTGGTATCTGCTGTTCTTAAGTTGCTTGATTTGAGACTGAAGAGGCACTCTTCAGGAGACGTACTCGGCCTCTTGCCCCGAAGAAGGTTCTTCATACGAATGGTGTATTTATGAGAGAAAGCTACCTTATTTACTGGTTTCACAAGTTTTTTCCTTTAAAAGAGACCAAGGAAATGGAACAGGCTGCAGGTAAAGCAGAACTAAGGGAATAAAGTAAAGCTGGGCGTTAGTTCAACATAGACTTCATTTGAAAGGGATTAAATCTTCTTGCTCAGTGATGGTGGCCAAAAACTACTGTGTGTAAGAGCTGCACCACTTAATGTAACTGTAAGGAGCTGGTAACAGTAAAATAGAGACAAATTAGCTGTGATGGAATATTGAGGAAAGCTGTTTACAGGTGCTGTAACTAATTTTTAAAAAAAGAAGGAAAATTCTGCAAGAGATACCAGTTAAGATCTGAACTTCAACAGGAAATAAAAGTAAGTGCCCAAGTGTGAGAAACTGAAGAAAAATTGATTGGGACTTCTGAGGGACAGAAGATGAGAATAAAAAAAAGGGAGAAGCTGTTAGAGATGGCTGCAGTGCCACAGAATACATTTTTATCTTCTTGTTAGAATGCAGTGATGCTGAGCTTTATGCCCCAATAAATAATTTACTAGACCATACACAGTTGAGGGATAAAACTTTATTTAAAAAAATTCAAACGTCACTTGACACGTAAGTCTTAGTTGAGGTAAGTGAATGTACTAGCTTAAGAAAACAACTTTCAGGATTGGATTTCATAAGCAGTTAACACTCTCTTGCTTGCAAGGCTCCAATAGCTAAGGGTGAAAAATTGTAAAGGAAGCGTCAAGTCCTCCATCGAGCTGAACTCCACTGTGCGAGAACAGAACTTCAGCCTTTTAAATTCAAGCCTCTTCTGGTTCTTTGCATGCTTTGTTACTTTATTACTCGGGTCTCTTGCCCTGAGACTCTTCACCCCTCCCAGGTTTAAAAGGTGCAGCTCTAAGAGGTGGCTGAACAGTACCTAATTTGCAATTTGGACAGCTAGGCTTAGGCTAAGTTAACAAACAAACAAACAAACAAACAAAAAACCCACAACAAAACACCACCAAAAAACCAACCCAACACTGGCAAGCTGCCCTTGTTCAACATACAGCTGAAGACTGAAGTCAGAAAAAACTACTTCTGTTGCCATCCTGAGCTCTCAAGGGGAGCAGTAGGGGCCTCCTGCAGCCCTTCGCAGTCATCTTCAGCTGCTTTGTATGCATCTCCTGAACAAACTGACACGGCATTGCCATCTGTGGAAGTACCTGAACTCAAGGCTTAAGGTTTGTTTTCTAATATGCAAGTAAATATCCTGCAAAATCGATAGTCTGACTAGCCCCTCCAAAAGCAGATGAAAGGGTACTTGACCTATTGGTACCTCAGAAGTGTAGATATTCACAATTTTAGTTTCCATATGGTAAAAGTACTAAGTTACAGCTAGTACCTGACACCTGAAGCGTGGAAGTAAAATTACCAGCACTACTGAGGGGAGCAAGACTGAAGTCAGCTGTTAGCTGGAGCGCCAGCCTGACCCTCTCACCAGGACTGATGCTGTCTCAGCTTTTACTGAACCATCTTGGCTACAGGAAAAGAACCATATTTAAAAAGTATTGAAAATACTCTTCACAGGATAATTCAAAGGAACACTGAAAGTACAGGATAAGCTAGTATTCTTTTCCTCCCTAACAGTGAAATAGTTAAGCTTGAAAAACAGAATCCTGCAGGCTTTTTGTTGCTAACACTGGATTATCTTACCTGCAGGTGTCCAGTCTTCCTCACTTCACGTCTTGCAGTAATTTCCAACCTAACTCTACCACGTGCAAGGTCTTTGCATCCATCTGAATATACTTTTTTTTTTTCCCCTCCTTGTAAATGGTATAAATATCAACTGCCATTCTCCTCCTCTGAAATTCATGTACCCCTGCTACAGATGCTTGGGGAAAAAAATGCAGGCAGGTGACTGATCTTTTTGTACTTACAATGTGAGTACGGGGGATATTAATCCAATGTAAATTAAGCTTTTTATGCTAGCATAGAGGGCTAATGTAGCATGTTGACACTGAAGGAAAAAGGGCAGAATGATTGTCTAGGTTTTATAAAAATACTGCTCTTCTAGCATACTAAAATATAGTTAATTTTAATTGAACTTGAGGTAAGAAGGTCCCTTTTAAGACCCTCCGTGAGCATTACTTGAAAATATTCTTTAAATCCAGTAGTATTGCAATCTTTTGACCAGGAATGGGCGCTCTCTGATGAGCTCATTCTAAATCTTAGTTGCTCCTTAGGGGAAATAGTGGTAACTTTATGTTCTGAATTCAAGGTCAATTAATTCACAATAATTTCTTGGGAGAGCTAAATTACCACCATCTGCTCCGCTTTGACTGCCACAGGTTAAATCTGGGCCAGGGGGTCTGCCTTAAGCCCATACCCAAAGCCCACCTCCATTATCTCCCAAGGTGGATCTCCAGCAGCAGTCCCAGCTTGCTTGGGTGGCCTAGTCTGTCCCCAGCACTTGAGCCATAAACCTGCGGTATTGCATGTGAATGCAAGGTGTTCCCAGGTAGCTATCTGGGATTTCCAGGAATCCTGCACATCAGAACAGCACTTCCCTTGTCTCTGTTGTTGGACAATAGAAAGAAGGTTGTCTTTAAGTCTTAGAAGGGCCCTGTGAGGAATTGTGGCTGCCATCTGCACGTCATGCCTAAGTACTAAATCACTAAGACTTGCTCTGACACAGACTACCAGTAAGTAATAACTCAGGCAGACATTCAGAGCAGATAAGGATAACTGTCCCGCTCTAGGTACTGGTCTAGTTTGAGGCAAGCATCCGCATTAAGTTGATGAAAGCATCACCATGCAACTACTCTAGAAAATATATTCCAAGTGACAACACAGAAAACAGTTCAAGAAATACCTGCAAATAAGGCACTTAAGTGAGACATTAACAGACTGGCTACATATTTAAACAGGCGTTATGGCTCAGACATCCTTGCTCCGGAGAAATGAACAGTACCGTGCATGGAAGAAGTTGCTGTTGCGTGCAGAACCCACTATCCGTTCATACTATTAAGGCAGCATTGTGTACAAGGAAGCATAGCAGGACATCAATGCTCTAAATACTTTGCTCTTTTTGAGTGGTATAAATAAAACTTTGGTCCATTACCACCCCTCCACCCCCCTGAACGTTTACAGGCTTATTTCACAGAACAGCAGCATGAAGCAAAGTTAATTCCGCACAACACACGTACCCTGAGACTAGAGTACAATGAAATACTGACAAAAATCAAGTCTGGAGTAAAAAAGGGAAACGTCTTCTGGACTGCTTACATTAATTTGCCTACGCAAATGCCTGTTTCTAACTTTTTCCAGCATAACAAATCCAATGGTTCACAATTACCTTCTGAAATTAATCCAGTAGGAAGTACAATATAGTGGAGTTCAAGTAGTATAAAGACAGGTTTTTGTTAACAGATGGTTGATGTCAAACAGCTGGAAACCCAGGTTTTAACATTACACTTTATAGCAAGAGCAAAAATCCCTTCACTCGCTTCTAAAACACCAAAACTTTCCAGCCTGGGTATGAAAATGAACATCCAAAATACAAAGAGACACAGCATTGATCAAGTACCCAGTCAAAGACCACTTCTCTGTTGTTAGAGCTGATGGTTACTCTAAGCTTGAAGTTCCCTCCCTCGTTGCTGGAAGGCCCTAATTGCACAACTTCCATGTCAAACGTCACAGTCGATCCAGAAGTAACAGCAGGCAGTTGGTTTGTCATCTCTTTTCCATTTACAAATACCGCCCCTGAAACAGTCAAGATATCAAACGTCGTCTCTCACTTTCTGTACATACTAACATGCAATACTATGTCTCCCTATTTTTCTTTGCAGGCAATTACAAAGCAACCCTGCCACGTTCCTTTTTGTCCCATCAAACAGGTTGCAATTACTGCAAGTAGGAAAAGGAGATCCGTGATCTTACCAAGGATTTTAACTGCACAAGCAGTGTGTAGTACATGAAAGGTGGATGAAGTTGCTCATATGTGATCCAGGGATATAAAGAACCAGGGGCTATGAGGTTGGGGTGGGGGGGGAATAAATCACATTCTTCAATGATGTGATTAAGACTCACCATTTGTGCTAATGCACACAGCTTTATCCCGCTGCAAAGAATCATAGCCGTTCTGCTGCTCCACACACACTCCTAGGCTGTCTCGTCTGTCTGGCTGTCCCACGGTTTCAATTCTACCAAGCAAAAGGTTAAGTCAAACCCTGCAGCTTTCAATCAACACACAGAATGAAATCCAGACAGCAATAGCCTGCCATACCAGCCCTCCATGCTGCGCTCCAGGGCTTTCAACAAATTGAGCCAACCTTTTGGGGAGGTCGCTGTTGAATGACCAGAAGTCCTACCAGCTCTCCCAACAGCTCCACTGACCAATGCTCATAACTATTAATCTGTACAAAAAAATAAATCTGCTTCCTGCAAACTTCCATTGCAATTTAATAAAATTCTTCACTATCACAGCTTAGAATCTTTTGAAATTATTTCCAGTTGCCTGAAAACAATCAAAATGTGCAAAACTACAATCATCTATATCAGATTACCGGCCAGTGTCAGGTATTACAGCAAGACAGCTGGAGTTTCAGCAAGTTTTTAATAAGCATGACTAAACCAGGGATTTTCTGAGCCCTGCTATATTCTGCTGTAAAGGGGCGGGGGCGGAAGGTTGATGTGTTTTGGTGGTGGTGCGTTGTTGGGTTTGAGGGTGCATGTGGGTTTTTTTGTTTCGTTTGTTTTTTTTAATAAATCAGCTTGGTGCAAATGGATACTAAAAACAATGCCTAGAGGAGCATTTACAAGTCTGCCTTCTGCTCAGTTGCATTTAGGATTTTGGTCCTGGGAAAGAATCTCCGACAAAAAGCAAACAAGTTGTGCAAATGCCCTGGGATGCAGTTCCCTTTGGGCCCTGGCAGCTGAGCGAGGCTGCCGTTCGTACACTGAAGGGCTCTTCTGTATTTGAGTCCTTTCTCTTGTACCGCTGTCTCTCAAAGGTGCTAAATCATACTTTAGAGTCTGAGTGACTCAGGAAACTCAGATGGTGTTTTCTGGAAAGTAAAACAGCAGTTATTTTCATTACAGCTTGAGACAAAGAGCAGCACTGATACTTGGTTGTTGCCAAACAACAGAAAAACTTCAGCAGCAGCTTTTAAGAACTGGAAATTAAACTGGGCAGTAGACTGGCACACAATGGGTTAACGCTTTCAAGACAAACAGGGACGATAAAATTGGAACCATGTTTTACTTTTGCACTCCATTAGGTTTCTCGGTCCCCTGGGAACATCATTAAGATAGCAAAAGTCTTGTACTGTAAAGCAAAGCAAAAAAAAAAAAAAACAAAACACCCAAACAAACCCCAACTTAAATATCCAAGAAGCTTTTAATGTGGAAGCAATCCACAATGTTTTCCCAGAACAACTTTACATGAGATTTCAAATTCATTTTGGTACTCTACTCTAGACTTCAAACTCTGCCTGAGTTACTGGTGAAGCTTTATCAACAGCTTTTATCTGTAAAATTGAGAGGTAAACCCTTTGTGCTTAGGTAACATTAATTCATTCCATCCCCAGTTAAGGAGGCCTTTCTTGAGTTTTGCGTTGGGAATAAGTGTTTGTACAGTCACAAGAATGACCAAAAATGCATCATTATAAGCCCATTAAAAAGTAGGAATTCTATTATGTCCATCTGTATCCACACTTACTTGCTCATTTATCTAGACCCTTTTTTGCAGAGCACTGTCAAGGTAACCTAGACAGCAGCAGTAGGAAGAAAAAACCATCAAGCAACAGGACAGCGAATACTTTGCGGGCGGAGCGGTGGTGCACCCCCAGCCGGGGCGTTTACACAGGAGTCAGTCTAGGACCAGCCGAACGGTTCAGGTTCGGCACTCTCAGTGGCACCCACACCGAATCCAGGCTGAGGCCACCTTTTTTCATCATGCTCTTCTGTATTCATCACACCCAGGCCTTCCAGCATCGGGGCAACCCTCCCTACAGCGCTGCCCTTGCTCCGAGGAGGCTGGGCTGCGTGCTAACGCAAAGCAGGAAAGAGCCAAACCTTCCTTACACCCTAAGGAGGAAGCACGACCCGAGGGCCCAAGACAACGGCCAACCTGTAATTCTGCAGTGGCTTTCCTCCTCTCGCATGCATAGGGAAGAGGACCAAGACCTGGTACAGATCACCATTCCTTTCCTTACTAGGTTTTGATTTTTCAGCAATTAATAACGAGCCTGAGTACAGAGCATCACTGCACGATCTCCTAAGCTTCGCTTTACTAGGCCGATTTTTCCTATTGCATTAACAAAGTTATTCTCCAGCCTCTATGATCCCCAGGACTTAAGATTTTAAAAAGCCCACAGAATACGTGGTAGGAGCAACGCTCAGCGGGACACTGTTCAAATCCCTTCTCACCACTTCCAGTGCTGCAGAGCAAAACCTTGCCTCTGTCACTGCAGCATACAGACACTGAACCAGTTCAACCACCACCAGTTTCCATTTGTCTCAGAGCACAGAGAAGTAAATCTGTGGGTGATCACATGCTCTTCCTTTGTAATAGCTGTCAGCAGAGATGTGGTGGGTTCCTGACAAAGTCAGCGTGATCTTCACAGGGCGTCTGCTGGGTGATCCCGAATCACCCGCCTGGCCGGACTGACTGGGGCTCCCCACTGCAAGCAAAAGCTTTAGAGCAGCTGCAGAGCAGGTTGCTGGGAGAAACCTTCCCTTTCCTAAGGACGGCTCCCTGAAGGCTGCAAAGAAACAGGAGGAGTCTTGACTTAAAGCAATGTTTTCCTACAACTTGTCCAAATGCCTCACCTCAGAGGGTAACTAAAGCAGGCTATCTTTAAAAAGCAGATACAAAGCATTGTGTTTATCACTGCTTCACTTTTCACTGATGAGGTATGCCTGCATCCCGAACATACAAGAAGAATACAAAGCTGCTTCACAAACATCTGCAACGTGAACCTTGCTTATTTGGTTTGCTCTGCGAGCCACTTATCCCCTTGTGAATACACTTTTGTTTCAACAGATGGAGAAAGCCAAGCGCCAAGTAACACATCTCCCTGCTCAGGAAAATCTCACACACTTTCAAACAAGAAGCTACTCTTGGACCTTGGAAGAGGAACACGACTGATTTTTGAGGTTGTCTTCAATCTTAAGATTCATGTCATTACGGATCTTGTGGACATGCGCTTGTCAGTGCTTTGCCATCCTGAAACAATCTCCTCTTGGAGAGGAGTCCACATTACCAAAATGTAAAGCAAAAGATTTTCACGTGTTACCAATAAAAAAAGATAAAAGGCATTGGTCTGAAAGAGAACCAAGGGAAACCTCAAAGTTCTGCCTTTAATTTCACAGGCATTTCTGAGCCAAGAGCTGTTAAATCGAGCAACAGAGTTCAAATGAAAGCTTTAGATCTTTTTATCCCATCTCAGACAGTGCAACTGAATACATCCTCATACTACAACCATCTAAAGTTCAGATAATTCATTGTCAGGAAGGAAGAAATGAAACACCATGGAATAAGTTACAAAAATATCATGAACAATCCCCTTAAATTGCCTTTGGGGGTTGCCTACTGTACAGCAAGTAGTTTTATTTAACCAGGGAAAGATGGAATAAAGCTTCAGAGTCTCCGAGGTCTGTCATTACAACTGACATATCCACAAGGCCATTCCTCATACCCCATTAAACAGCATCATCTCAGGGACAGGACTACAGGCAGCAAAGCTGCCAAGGTTTTTAATCATATTCGGTGTCAAATGAAAAGCTTGAATTTCACAAGATCCCTTCTCCGCTCAAGAGTTTCTAATGCCAGTTTCAAGCAGCAGTCTGATCACCACTAATTATCTCAGATGTTGAAGACATCAGTGCCAGACTGCCATCCTTACCTGTCCCAGCAGCACATACAATGTTTTCACATCCAAAGTCATCAAAGTATGTGCATAGTCTGGGAAGGAAAAAACCCACTGACCCAAGGCTAAAAAGAATCAATGATGAGCCTCCACTGACTTCTGACCAGCCACTAACAGCTACTACAAAACTTGAGGAGGTTCAACATTCCACAGATTTGCTCGGTGTGAGCTGTATTTTACCATCCCTCAGGAGCTCACTCGTCTCTGTTTTAGCTAGATGCAGGTCCTACAGAAACATCAGGTGTTTTCCTAAAGAGCCAGGAAGCAGAAGGCAAGAGAAGGAAGTCCAGCCTTCACACAGACACGCTACCTTGACTGGGGCTGAGCTGATGTAAAACTCAAACATGCATCATGGCTCAGGTTTACATTCAATTCAAATGTAACGGAACAGAGAAGGAAGCTTGGGTCACAGGAGATGCCCCAGACAACAGCTACCCAGAAGGTACTTGCCTGAATGTTAACGTTTGCCCACAGAAATAAGTAGGAGCTTTGGAGTAGAGCACACCGCATGACTGAGAATCATTTCGAAGTGCTATGTTTCTTCGACTGCTCAAGCTGTAACCCTCCAAACCAGTTGTCCATTCTTCAAAGGAAAAAAAACCAAAAAAAAGCAGCATTAACCTCAACTAGACCAGCTACTCTCTGTGCAAAATAAAGTCAGTCGCAACGGCCACTCAGTTTACCTCATATGAAGCTTAAGCTATGTTAAGAACAGGGGCTGGTTTTCTCTTCTTCTCATGGAGAGATTTCTTTTTCAAATCATTTGTAATTACAAAAAATATTTCCCAGCTCACAGGGTTCACCAGAATGTCACTCTTTGCTGTGATCCCTGCAAAGTCATACTGTAGGCAAAGGAAAACCTTCATGACCCACTGCCCTGAAAAATTTGCAAGTGAAGAGAAAATTTAGGTTTTTCTCTCTCCCAGGTAAGAGCTTGTTACGTGACTGTAGGCCATCAAACAATGCTTAGGTAGGGGTGAGGGACAAAGAAAAACAATGCCTCGCTTCTAGCTCATTGACGCTTTCCAAGGCTAAGCAGTGAGCTGCCGGCTGGAAAGGCTCACGAACTATCACTCACACTACGAGGCAAAGAATAAATTGCAGGATGAAAGGACAGTTCATCATACCTTACACACATACATCACAGCTAAGGACACCCCATCATCATACAAAAAGCAGCTCCATAATCATTCAGCTATAGACCTTCAGGAGTGCTGCACTGATGACACGGGCTTAAGATGAAGATGAACGGCAACGGAACAGTACCGTGGGGAACTAGCGTGGTACGGCCGATCTGAGGAACACTCCACGGGCTCCACTCTTGCCGTCCATCTCCTCGGGCACAGACTCTGAACTGGTAATCAACATTAGGATCAATATGCAGCACTATGAACTCTGTCTCTGAGCCGACATACACATCTTCAAAGTGACTGGCAGTACCCTTACGATATTGCAGTCTGTAATCTTGTGGTATGAAGTCATCATCCACCTAGAGAAACATTTATTACATTAATAAGGACACCCTCTTTTTTTTCTTTTGCCTCTGAAGTGGCACATATTAGGATAGTATTGCAGGCTGTGAAAGGCAATTCAGTCACAAGGTATTAAAGAGCAGAAAGCATGCCTTATAGAAAATAAAATCAGTGTCTGAACCAACTAATACAAAAAGAAGTATAAGAATGATTTGCTCACAGTTTAAAAGTATCTACAGGAGAAGAAACATTTAACAGAAGGCTTTTCAATCTAGCAGAAATATAACAAGATCCTTCAGCCAAAAGCTGAAGACAAATTTGCAGCAGAAATTCAGTGCCAGTTTTTAACAGCAAGGGAAATTCACTATTAACCTTCATAAACTGTTGCAGGGAATGTTTTCTAATTCCTTGACATATCTAAGTCAAAAGAGATTCCCACCCCCTCCCCACAAAAGCTCTATTATCCCCCAAGCATGACCAGATTCAGGGAACTCCTCTATAGCACAGAAAATCAGACCACACATGACAACAGCACCTATGGTTTTATAATTTAGCCCACATCCTTTACAAGGTAAGGACAGCTGACCATGGCTGGCTGTTGCTAGAACAACAAAAGGTTGTTTAATGCTGCCAAGGAGTGTAGAGCTGTCCAACAACAACTAAACTGCATCAGAGCACAGCAGTGATTTACTCAAAAACAGTTTTTCTGTATCAAAGAGAAAGGCTACTTGGCTAGCTAATGCCAACATAAAAACATTTTCTCTTTCTATCCACTGCATCTCCCTAACACCACAAACGTGTTTAGGGGTAAAAGCATAACAGACAGAACAGGTTCAGCCTCATCCTGGGTCTGCTAAAGCATCTTCAATGGGAACAAAACCATCACCCCAGCAATGAAGTTCAGTCTCACTGAGAGTGTTTGGGTTAGGGTTAGAACCACTTCGTTCCACAGCACAAATGGCTACGTGCAGATCACCTCTCAGAAACCCACACACCAGGATTTCTTGGTCCTGTTTGTACAACAGCATCACAGATAGATTACTCTCTACTATTCATTTGTTTAGTGGGAAAAGTACATGAAGGAGGTGTTTTCTGCTTGTCCAGTACCCAGCACTTGTTGAAGCATGGGAAGCAGGGATAGCAGTGTTTTCAGCTGTCCCTCCTGATTTTATCACGCGCAGGGAAGGAGATTGTGAGGCAGAGGTGCATTAGTGAGTCGGCCCTTTCTACCTGCAGATGGGAGCAGGTAGAGTCCAACAGCAAGAGTCTAACATACAAGTGTTACTGCCAGCACCAACCACAACATTACTAGATTACCTTGCCTTTAAATGAGGCCATTACCATAAAAATCTCTTCTAAAGTTTCTAAATACACATTGGAGTGGGCTATTCCTTTGAAGGCAGTACAGAATCCAGAATGAAAGTGTTTTTTTCAGTTTCTTTCAACAAAACTGAATGATTTTCACCCAGGATATTTTACCTACCTTACACCATCGGACTAAAATACCTCCAGGCTTCTCAACGAATTCCTCTAGCTGTACAGGTGGGTGAGATGCCACAGTTCCATGTCTGAATATTTGATTTTTCAATATAGTAAGAAGGCAGTCATCCAACTGGGCAGATAAACAAGGCACGTCAACCAAGGAGGGCACTTCTGGTAAGCTGAGAAAGGAAAGTTTGCTGTAATGAAAGGGGCCAGCTTCTACAAACTCATACTTTGTCCATACACTTGAATCTGTGCAGATTTGCAAAGAGAGAACAGCTGCAGAAATTGGCATGTGCATTCCAAACTTAAAAGACTCAGAAAACATTGTGCTTCAGCCCTAACCAGACTGTCTGTTTCTCAGTAAATACTCTGAAATACAGGCTGTTCCACAAGGAGCGGTTTCATCGTTCACAAATAAACAGCCTATATTTCTACAGAACATATGGAGGTTGAAAACTGCTCCATTCTGTGACTGCCAGCCCCAGTGACAGTCTATGAAACAAACAGGACAGTAACACCTCAAACGAATCTTTTAAGGCAGTGGAGCAGAAGGGCTTTTGTTTCAAAGGAGAAAAGATCCCCTGTACAAGAAGAGCACATGTGCCGCTGCCTCAGATCACCTCAGTATGTCAGTATCTTACCTATCTAGCTGAATATGTAAAGCTTTTTTTGTAAAGCTGCACAGTTTCTCATTCTGTTGTCCCACATCTCCATGGACTGCACTCTCTCCTGGAATCAAATGGTAAAAATATTCCTAATGAGAAAACGTCCAAGAAAGGCACTCTTTGCTTCAAAGAAGAACCAGTTCTGACACGAACAACCAATTAAACATGAAGCATTCTCAGCACTTTTGCTAGACTCTTAGCTAGAAAATAAAATTATATAGTTAACAATATAAAGCCTATCTAGCAACTTTTGAAGCTCTCAAAGCTTCCTGTAGACGCACCCATAACAGACGTAATAATTTGCCTCAGGTCTCAGACAGTAGCAGAACTGGAGTCAGATGCTGGAAATCGGGATTATTAATCACTTTCTCTACTTGCTTTAAAGGAAGGAAAAAGCAAAGCATCTTCACTGAGCAGAAAATAAAAAAGCAGGAGCTTAAAAGCAAAAAATAATTTCAACTGCTGTTCTGTTTGCTACAATCTAAATGGTAACTATTGTCATAATGAAGGAAATAATCCACGCATTAAAGTGTGGAGACAAATAGAAATCTTTTCATAAGCTTTCCATATAAAGTAGCGTCCCACACTTCATCTTACAGAGACGTATGCTCCATTCTCCTATCTGATGACTTTATGGTAATTTACAATACAAGCAAGCCCAGTCCTTTTCCAAATGGAGGATTACAAACATTACAAATCTCTAAAGAAAAGGATACGTCATAATTGGCAGCAGGAGATTTAATAACCATGGAGGCTTAACTCCTTTGTGACTCAGATGCAACGTCTGCTCATTTTGACGACATGACTTAGCAAGGCTTCTACTGCTACAGAGGGCCTGGTGACCCACGGGACAGGAGGCGCACAGCCTCGTCAGGCTCTCGTGAGATCTGACAGAAAATCGTATAAAACACAGGCAATCTTTGCCACCACCCTGTGATTCAGTAACTTGAGACTTAAAATAAAACCAAGGTGACTACCAGCTGTCCCAGAGGTTGTGGTGCTAGAAAAAAAACCCAACAAATTAATTCTTAAATATTGCCACTACTCCTGTGAACAGGAGGCATAGAGCTACCAAGCCAGCATGGTTTTTAAGCGCAAAGCTCACATCTGAGTGGGAGCTGGTAGACTTCCTACCCGTGGGAGACTGCTCGATGCACTTTAGGTCTCAAAACTGAGATCATGTTGAAAGAAAGTTAAAGTTGAGACACGAGAACAATGCAAGGAAACTGCCAACATACTCATGGCTCAGACATGCTCCCAGCAGGTTCTCCAGTGTGGGGAAAACAGTCAAGAGTGACATTCCTTTCTGGCTAGGTATTTAGCATCAGTAGGGTACAAACTGGCCCTTACAATAATATTCCACGTATCTATTTTTGTCTGCCTCATCCTCAGACTTTTTGGAGAAATCTTTCCCATACAGTGGCCATTCCGTTCCTCGTTCCCCATCAACAGTGAACATAATCATACTTAACAGGAAAGATAACCTCTTTACTTCAGCTGCTACTCCATTAAGACACAAATAACTTTCTTCACCCAACACAGACATTTTGTTATTATGGTACCCAAGATGTATTTTATTTCCAAGTAGCCTGACATAATCCTCTTTCTAACATGGAGGGGTGCAGGACATCTCTGCAGTGAGACATTTCCAAAGCAGATACTTCCTGCCCTTACGGAGAGGCTGCACTGACGTATGCACAGCCTAGGACTGGAGTGAAATATTAAAATACGGATCTGTAGGAAATAATATTGATCAGCTCTTCATTACATCTACCCAACTTCAACCTCTTCTTAACATTTGGTTTGAGAGAAGTCCAAAATGAGCCAGATATGCAGATCATAACGGGACCATTCCAGACTTTGAGACACACACACACTGGAAGGTAAAGCTAAGACTTAGCATCAGGTCCTGCCTTACCTTCCCGGAGCAGATCATCAGCTGTACTGACTCCGTGCTCTATTAGCTTCTGACATTCATCCAAGGGTTTGATGCTCTCTTGTTCTATAGCATCCACCTCCTGCAGCAGGGACATCAGTCGTTCATCCAACAGCTTCTTTAGGGTCCCTTTCAAATCATTAAAATGTTGCTCAAGTACATCTCTGGTCAATGTTGCACTTTCTCTGATCTAAATTCAGGTAACAGGAAAGAAGGATTCAGGATAAAGGCAAAGGCCACGCAGATCTTTTATTTTTCTGAACCACCTCATCTGCATCTGCGGGTGCAAAGCTGCGTGTGAAGTCAGCTTTAAAAAAAGAACCACTGGCAGGTAACAAACTCGTGTAGTCAGTTTTAGTACATGTACAGCAGGGAAGGAGGCAAAGAAACTAGCCTGGACAAGGGGAAGAGCTCATTAACTAAGCAAAATACAAACTGTGTTACATGTATGTCAATCAAGGACTTTTTCTTATCAGAAAAGTCTGAATGCTCTGTAGGTCTTCTCCCCACCACCCCCCAAAATCGCTGTAATCCTGTTCAAAAACCACTCTGCCGTCATACACAGGTAATCCTCACTGGAAACAAAAAGATATCAGGCTTTTAGAACACTATCTAGAAGCACTTTTCCAGGCCCTATCGCTTCACCGGATTTTTAAAATCCTCATAAAGCTGCTTTCTTTTAAATTTTTTTTTTTTTTTTCCAAATAGCCACCTTTGATTTGTCTGTGCTCCAGGGTTACAGGGCAGGGTGAACAGCAAGTCTGGTTTGATTCTGGAAGAACTAGACCACAGAAAGTTCTACAAGTGCTTATTAAAATGCTTGCAAACTTGCTGAATCTGACTTTTAGGGAAGAAAATGCATTTGAACACCCCTGAGCTAAAGATGCAAGAGCCAGAAGTAAACATCTCCGTATGAACAACTTTTTTAAGTCACACACACAAGGAAATGCTGCAACACGCACACGGCCTTACACGTAATTTCTAGATCTTTAGAAGTACAGACAACCAACACAGGAAGTTCTCTGGTTAGGTAAAATAAATTTCCTCTTCAAGTAATATTCATGAAGCTCTGCAGCTGCCACACAGCTCGGTTTCCCTTCTCTTGTTATTTCAACGCTTGAGAAAAAAGGGAAGTCTTGCGATTCGAGAAGGGGTGGGGCGGAGGAAGGCAGAACAGTCACTTCTCCAAGCCCATTACCTCCATTACAGGCAGATACAAACTCAAAGAGTCAGCCTCACAATTACAGATACTACCAGCTACGCAGAAGAGGAAATGCAAGTCCCTGAACACACAGAGCGGGATGAAGCTTGTTGAAAAGTCATATCCCATTGGTCCGAAAGAAAAGGATGCAACATAAGTGGTCTACAGCACTTTTCCTATCACATCGTCCCACCAGCCCCCAAATAATAAAGCTTCCGCTATCTGAACCCCAGTCTAAGACATTCAGCACTTCTGGACACGGGGAATTCTTGGATATCTGTTGCACGGCTGATTCTTTGCAGACAAAATAGCATGTGGTCTTGAAGATGGAAAGAGACAAAACAGAAACATGCACACAAGCATGGTGCACACAAGAAATGGCCCCAGAGAGGCAAAGAAAGGTAAGCTAACTAAGCACTCACAGCCACTGCAGAAAGGCAAACTGGCTCCCTCTCAATGCATTTTGAGTTATCAGGCAACACTCTGAGATGACAAGGTTTGGATTAAAGACAGTCAGGAACAATTCATTTTCTTAAGTAGCTTGCGGTTTTGAAGATGACTAATGTAATGCATAGTGATCGCCCACATTCACTCAGTAGCAGGACGCTAACCTAGCAGATTTATAGCAGATTTCTATGCTAATGGAATCTGCTTCAGAAAAATTATCAGGTCACCACAGAAACATTTTCTTGAGTTTAGTTTTGGTCTTTTTTTATTTACCCCTTGCAGAGTTGAATCAAAGATAGTAAGACATTGGTTCTAGTCTGCAAAAACTAAAACGCTTAGGGGACGCTTTAGCAGAGAAGCCAGTCCTTCACCGGCTCTCCGCAATCTCCCTACCCACATCTGCATATCTTATCATGCATCTTCAGCAGAGTGGGTGGGTTCCCAGTCCCAATGAAAACTCTCCTCTGGCTCCAGTGCACAGCTGCAGAAAAACCAGCTAACCTGGAATGCTGGCAACACTTATACATGACCCGCAGAGTACGTGACCCACGGAGTCTGGTGCATGGGGACAGCAGAGTTCAGGATAGCAACGGCACTAGAGCGTACCTGGCCTCGGCAGGTATCTTTTAGATGTGAGGGGAAGACGACAGGCATGACACTCCCTATAAAACAAGGTTTAGCATCACGACTACTTTAGAAAATGCAGTTCCTTTAGACATCTTTATTCTTGCCTAGGAAACCTCCCTATCATCCCCGAAAATTAGGCTCAGTTCAGTAACAGACTTCAGCTCGCACCCCTTCCTTCCCGATACCTTCCGCATCTCCGCTCCCCGGCCCTCCATCTCCGGCACCGACGGGGCAACGCGCACGGCGCCGGCGGGGCTCCCGCCGCCCGCCCCGCCCCCGCCCCGCACCCCCCC